AGTAGTTAGTTTATAAAGTATAGTATAGCTATAGTTGTAAAGTTTATATAGTAGTTAGTTTATTTTAAGTAATAATGTTAGTATGTTTGTTTTAGTAGGGTTGTTTTTGTGATGCGTATGATCTCAGTTATGGAGAGGGAGTGGGAGAGGGAGTCTAGTGAGGTGCAGTGTTATTGTATCCCCGCGACGAAGTCGGCGGGGATACTATGGTTTCATGTCTCCCCAGCCGCCGCCACAAACAATTTTCCTTCTGCTCTATAACTCGACCCCTAATTGACCTAGCGCTACCAAACTTGGTATACTTACACATCTTGGGGAGAGGGTGTGTCGCATACCAAAACCAGGTCACTACGACCTTTATTTTACCTTTACCTTGACCTTGATCATATTTCCCTTCCGCTTTATAACTCGGCCCCTAATTGACCTAGCGCTACCAAACTTTCTATACTTACACATCTTTGGGAGAATGTGTGTCGCGTACCAAAACCAGGTCACTGCAGCTTTTATTTGACCTTGACCTTGACCTTGATCATATTTCCATTCCGCTCTATAACTCGGCCCCTAATTGACCTAGCGCGACCAAACTTGGTATACTTACACATCTTGGGGAGAAGGTGTGTCGCGTACCGAAACCAGGTCACGGCAACCTTTATTTGACCTTGACGTTGACCTTGACCTTCATATTTTCCTTCCGCTCTATAACTCGGCCCCTAATTGACCTAGCGCGACCAAACATACGTATACTTACACATCTCGGGGGTGCGTCCGTCCGGCCGTGCGTCCGTCAACAGTTGGGCACAAATCTAAACGGCTATGAATTGACCTCTCTGTCTGTCCGTCTACCTGTCTGTCCAGCCATTTTGTTATCAACGTATGGCATTGCTATTTTACCTAGAAACCTACATTGCTGTTGCAGTCTTCGAATTTAGCCAGGCGTCCGACGCCCGAGACGTGTAGAAATCTCGGCGGACATGTAAAAATTGCAAGCCCACTTGCCCGACGGGCCCCTGCTTTAAAAACGCATAAAATATAATGAAACTGGCCATTAACTAAAGGTTTTTAATGTAAAATCACGAAATATTAACATCGGAAACGAATGGTGTCTAGATGTTGTCTGGTGTACACTCGTTATTCCAAAAACATTCCTGCAAAATATATGGGCAACTAGAATGTCATTCGGGCATGTACATTTTACAGAATACTTGCCCAAAGGGCAAGAGGCTCAAAAAGATTCTCGTGACGACTGCTGCTAACACAAACAAATAATAGCAGTTTAAGCACTGCTAATGCAATATAAGGTGGTACATGGTGCTGTGATTGGTGCAGTGTGTCTAGGTGTGATTGGTGCACAACAATATTTATCGTCCTGACAGATATTCTCTTACTCTTCTATCAAAGAGANTTGCAAAATATTATTTATTATTATTAAATCTTGATTGCATGTAATTCAAATATACAAATGGTGGTGTTGATTTCTAGTCAGAAGACAGAGGCGGGAAATCTACGATTTCATTTGTGGCAGCGATGAGAGCGAGTGTGCACCTAGATATGATCGACTATCGACTGATCGATATAATCCATTATAAGCTCTTGATATGATTTGCGCGCGAACTCTGGCGGTGGTGTCGATTTCGTGTCAGAATTGATAGAGGCAGGCAATCTACGATTTCAGTTGTCATAACGATGAGTGCGGGTGTGTACCTCTAGCTATGGTGGTATCCCTCCTGCGCTTGTTCGATGTATCCGCGTCGTGTGGTGTCAACACAGAAGGCACGGGTATTGATTACTATCCAAAGCAGCATCGGTCGTAGTATTCGTTCGACTGCTGGTGCGCGTGCGTGTATAGGTCGAGAGATGTGTACGGGATTGTGGCAACGGTTGTCAAGCAGTCCCTGACAATAGTCTAACAGCAGTCTGCCAATAACATATCCCT